AAAAAGCATTTTTCAGAAAAATAAAATAAAATTGTATTATAAAAACAACCACATATTTCATCCCATATTCTCCTATATTTTCAACTTAAAATTATCTATTATGTATAGGGTTTTTGATGTAATTTCCGTCCTACTAAGCACAACCCGCGCTTTACCTCTTTTTTTTTAACGGGTCTATTCACCTTTCCATACCTTTCGTTGGATTTGATAAAGAGTCACAAATTGTTGAGATATTGTTTAAAATCTAATACTGCTTCTTGATTCTAAATTCGTCCTACGAGTTTCAATTCCTTCTTAATGCATTGAAACGCCATTAGATTTTCTTCGTCCTTCGGATAAACGTAGAAAAAGGGGATTCGCTAGGAGCGAGGGGTTTCTACCAAGCTTCTAAGGTGAACGGTAATCAAAAATTACCACAAATTATTAAAATAGTTAGTGAATTTTGAATTACTCACAAATTTCAATGCAATAAAAATAATTGTGGGTAATTTACGGGTGATGTCAGTAATTCCTACTGCTTGGACAATAATTTGGTAATTTTAAAAATAAAAAAAGTACAAGGGACAGCCCTATGGGGTTGTACGCAATGGTGACGTAGGACTACATTCCTTTATCTTCATTCCTTTATTTAACATCGGTCTCTGTTCCGCAATCTACTGTCAATCACCGACGGACATCGATTGCCATCCATTGACGGCAATCGAATGTGCAGGAAGGCAGCTTCCACACCTGCGTAGGATATCGCACCCATTCAAACACACATGGGCCGGGACCAACGGCTTGACTTCCCTTCCGAAGACGTGACCAGAGATTTTTATGCCTCAGAAAAATCCCACCGACCTCGGCTGGGATTGAACCCAGACCCATAGGGGTGAGAAAGCAGTCTACGTGGTCTTATATAATAAATCTAATTTGTTAACTACAGCAGGAGCTTGTGTTTTGTGCAGTAATAGGAATTTGAGCGGGGTTCTCTCTGTTTATACTCTTCAGTATGACGCGCTTGACATAGATGGCTCACAGCGACTCACGAAGAGTTACTGATTCCGATCAAGAACGGTGCGGCTTCTTTCTCCTTCCAGGCATAGAAAATCATTTGCATTCATTTCGTGCATTCATTTACATTCATTTGCCCCTAACTTTTTTCATCAACAGAATTCCACAAAATGATGTATGGAGCTTTTGTAGATTTTGTTATTAACTACAACTTTTGTTAAGAACTCAAATCCGTATCTCTTATTCATGACGAACCAGAGCAAACAGAATCCACTACTGTTTTTCGGTGAATGTATTTTACATTCACTGAAAAACAGTAACGAGTTCTGCCCGCTCTAATTCGTGATGCATAATTCATACAGATTTGAGTTACAGGCAAAAGTTGTAGCTAATAACAACACCTACTAAAGCTCTATACATCATTTTGTGGATGCTGTTGATGAAAAAAGTTAGAGGCAAATGAATGTAAATGAATGTAAATGATTGTCCATGCCTGTTTCCTTCTATTGATACTCATGTGGGCTGCAGCTCGCTGCTTGCGGGGAGCTTTTCGTTGTGTACTGGAGAACAACACCGCTCACCACGCGGTGATTAAATAAACACCGTTTGGTTAGAGAGGATGGAATTCAACTTTGAAATCTGTGTTAGGGAAATCGCTTTTCGCAGGCAATCGGTGATAATTTTAATTATCATAGCAACAGTTATACATTCGTGCAATTTTCAATAGTGACTTTTTGAAAAATGATAAAGTGTTAATTTTAACAGAATCGAAGAAAAAATTTCTATTGATTGGCTGTTTAAGAATTAAAATCCATCATCTCTGGATCAAAATCAGACCACTTTCATGCCGCGACCGAGTTTGGTTTTTGAAACTGCACCCCCAATGTTTCCTTAAAGTACATAGTATGTTAGATTTGAACATATCTAGAGAGAGCTGGAATTAGGCGTAACAGCTTTTGTAAACAATGACTACTCTCGATGATTTAAAAAAATTCCAGGCACGCCCACGCAAACCATCATTCACGCGTGGGCGAGCCTTGACTTTCAAGACATCACCGAAAGAAGTCATTGTTTACAAAAGCTGTTACGCCCTAATTCCAGTTTTATATTGATATAGGAACTGACATCTGATTGATTACCTTGACAAATGTCTAAAAAATACTCTTTTACAAATTTATGGTGGTCCTGAAAAGGACCGTTTTGTCGTGATGGTTGAGTAATGCTGAGCTATTAGGGTGTTAAACACAGATGAGGCTGGTGAGCTGTATGTTTTTTGGAATGAGGGTGACGCGCTTGGCATAGATGGCCCACAGCGACTCACGAAGAACTACTGATTCCGATCAAGAACGGTGTGGCTTCTTGATCCTTCTATGGATGCTCATGTAGGCTGCAGTTCGCTGCTTGCAGGCAGCCTTTCGTTGTGTACTGGATAACAATGTTCGTGGCGCCGAAAGTACTGCTGCTACTGATGATGATGCCGACGACCGGATACCACCATACACGGTGATTGGAACTGAATCCGATCCGCGGTTGAGGCCATCCTTGAAGGCTAGCTGTTTGCGGGGAGCCTTTCGTTGTGAACTGGAAAACACCACCACTCACCACGCGGTGATTGAATAAACACCGTTTGGTGAGACCGGATGGTTCTAATGACGACAATGTTAGCCTCCCACCCCGAGTTCAGATTGACGGTGACGAAATCGAGGTGGTCGATGAGTTCGTGTATTTGGGCTCACTGGTGACCGCCGAAAATGATACCTGCAGAGAAATTCAAAGACGCATTATGGCAGGGAATCGTGCCTACTTTGGACTCCGGAGGACGCTCCGGTCGAATAAAATTCACCGCCGCACGAAGTGGACTGTCTACAAGACGCTGATTAGATGGTCCTCTACGGCCACGAGACCTGGACTATGCTCGTGGAGGACCAACTTGGTGTCTTCGAACGGAAGGTGTTGCGTACCATCTACGGTGGAGTGCAGATGGATGACGGAACGTGGAGGAGGCGAATGAGCCACGAATTGCACCAGCTGCTGGGAGAACCATCCATCGTCCACATTGCAAAAATTGGGCGACTACGGTGGGTTGGGCACGTCGTAAGAATGTCGCACGACGACTCAGTGAAAATGGTTCTAGAAAGCGACCCAACAGAAACAAGAAGAAGAGGCGCGCAGCGGGCAAGGTGGATCGACCAAGTAGAAGGCGACCTGCGGACCCTTCGCAGACTACGAGTCTGGCGACGTGTGGCCATGGATCGAGTAGAGTGGATACGACTTCTTCTGACAGCAGAGGACAACAAGGCCTTAGCCTGATTGGTAAGGTAAGTCATTGCAACTAATTCGGACTTGAAAAAAATATCAATAAATTTACTATGATCATTTATATATTTACATGGAAATTGCTTTTGGTAACTTCGCATTGCATTTGCAACCAAGACAGCAACAATATCTAAAGAAAGGACATCATCAAGCTGCGCTGAGTAACGCAAAAAATAGCACGCAAAGCTGCCCACATTCTTCCTAATCCAAGTGAGTAAATCGGAAATGGCAACAACATTTGTGAAATGTTACCGCACAGATTTCAAATTCACAGCAAAAATATACTTACTTATCCGGAAAATCTCCGTCGAAGCGAACCCAAACCAGATTATCCTAGGGCAGTGGGCGGACCTCTCGAAGGCTTTGGCCTGTGGTGCATCTGGAATGAGACGGGGATTCGGGAAAGGGCAAACGAGAAAACACACACGCAACGTGACCACGGCACGTGATGTAAATAGAAATGGTTCGCTCCACTCGCAAGCTCTGAAACGGAGAAAACTGTTGCTAACATCAGCCGTTATTGTTGAAGTTCCTTGGGCAGAGATTCTTTTCTTTGGCCGCAAAAGAATTTGTTAATGTAGCAGCCAATGGGATAAAATGTTAACACCTCCCACCGCTCATCTGCTGAGCCTTGAAATGCCACCGGCCGGCAGTCAATTTGTGAGGCACTTTTGCTAATTGCTCTTTCTCCCCACGGTCGGTCGGAAGCCCTTTCTGCAGAGGCTCTTAAATTGTAACGTCGTCCGTCGATTTTTAGGCCCCAACAGAAGCAGCAGCATCGACAACAGCTCCGACGATGTTATTCTATCTTAATTGATGAACTGTGCAGCTGTCCCGTAGTGCCAACAGTTCTGCCTAATACACCCATATACATATCTCCAAATGGAAAGACGAAGGACACTGGATGGAAGGAGAACATCTGATACAATCTTTTCTGTTGCTTCCTCCTGCGATGGCAGGGACACCCCCGAAAATAGGTTAGTGCCAAAGGAAATCTATCAGCAGCCGCCCGCCTCGGGTGAGTGGTTCTTCATTATCGCGCGCGCCAATGAGGCCGAAGTGTGGGGTAAAATGATTTCGTTGACCCTCATGGGTGTGCGGGGGGCGGCTGTCAGTGGTTTGGTTTCCGCCTCCACCACCAGCGCCACCACCGGTAGCAAGTGGAGCGATGGGAATTCGAACTTAATTGTAGCTTTATTACATTTTCAGGATGCTTTTAAGGGAAATTGAGATACGTCCGGCGTGAAATGGAAACCAGCAAGAGACACGATGAATTATTCCCTGGCAGAGAATTGCAACAAGATATTTATATTGGAACGAAGTTTGTTCTAATTACAGTTGTAAGTTGATTTTCTCCGATATAATTAAGACTACTTGCCGGTACGTCTCCACAGCAGCGTCAGCAGCAGTCTTCTTCGCTGACGCTCGATTGAAATTTGTCAATTACACTCACCCCCCCCCCCCCCCCCCTTACCGACCCGTTTTTCCCACCAACAGTAGCGAACAGACAATGTCAGAAAACTGCATTTCCGAACCCTGCCTAATTGATTGTTTATTGCTTTTTAATTGGACAGAGTTGCCTGTCTTTCGCGCAGATAATAAATCGAATAGCGGCAATAATAGATCGCACAATTTCTCACGCCCCGGCAGAGGCTGATGCTTGTCTTTCTGTCACTATCAACAACACTTACCTCCAAGTTACGATGGGATGTTCCCACTTCTGGCCCTGGATAATGAAGCGCCGCTGCCGTCGGTGATCGAACCCAAGTGGACTCAGACTGTTCGAGGGCATGAAATCGAGGGAATTGGACAGATCGGGAGCCCCGCAACGGGGCTTCCGCATCAGTTCCAACGTTTCCCGGTTGATTTCGCCCGACGGATCCAGGTTGGCAAAGGACTGGAAGGGGAAAAGCAGACAATTGTACACCATTAGCTTTTTGAAGTGTAAATTTATCAAAAGAACAGCGGAATAAATATCAAATGGTAATGATTGAAGATTGATTGAAATTCATTCGGAAGAATTAGAGATGCGTAATCGGGAGAAATTATTGAAAATATATGATATGGAGGGGATGATTGAATTTTTATGATAAGTTTAGAAAACTACGTACACAGCAAAAAAAATATTCTGATATCACATCAAAGTAGATGCACTTCAATCGTGTCGAAAATATGGTGTATTACTACTTGCCAAAAAGGACAAAATTATCATTAATACAGTGCATGAACTGACATTACGCAGCGTTTGCTGCATTTGTTTATTTTTGTATGTATGTAAGGTAGCCACCATCCCTTCGAAGATCTTGTCTTGTATGCAGCTCCACTTACTTACTTACTTATCCTGGTCCGACATCCATCAGGATTGCACCTGCATCACAATGTTACGCCAATTCACTCGGTCCGTGGCTGCTTGTCTCCAATTTCATGAACGTCTCACACTTCCAAGATCCTGCTACACTTGGTCTAACCACCTTGCTCGCTGTGCTCCTCTTGGTCTTGTACCGGCCGGATTCGAGGCAAACACCATTTTTGCGGGATTATTGTCCCGCATTCTTAAAACGTGTCCCGCCCATCGTACCCGTCCAGCTTTCGCGACTTTCTGGATACAGGTTTCGCCATTGAGTTGCGCTAGCTCGTGGTTCATCCTTCGCCTCCATACACCGTTCTCACATACCCGGCCAAAGATGGTCCTAAGCACTCGTCGTTCGAAAACACCCAGTGCTTGCAGGTCCTCCTCGAGCATCGCCCGCGTCTCGTGCCCGTAGAGAACTACCGGTCTTATCAGCGTCTTGTACATGGTACATTTAGTACGGAGGTGAAGTTTACCCGACCTTAGGGTCTTGTGGAGTCCGTAGTAAGCACGACTTCCGGCAATAATACGCCGACGAATTTCTCTGCTGCAGTTGTTATCCGACGTCACCAATGATCCGAGGTACACAAATTCATCCACCACCTCGAACTCATCTCCGTCGATTGTCACGCTTCTGCCTATGCGAGCCCTATCCGGCTGGGTTCCTCCAGCTAACAGATACTTTATCTTCGACGTATTCACCTTTAATCTAACCTTCTCTGCTTCACGTTTCAGCCTGGTGTACTGCTCCGCCACGGCCTGAAACGTTCTTCCGACAATGTCTACGTCGTCAGCGAAGCAGATGAACTGGCTGGACTTATTGAAGATCGTGCCCCGCATGTTAAAGCCCGCACGTTTTATAACACCTTCTAACGCAATGTTGAACAGGAGGCAGGAAAGACCATCGCCTTGTCGAAGTCCATGGCTTCAAACGAGTCCGATAACGAACCCGATATCTTCACGCAGCACTGTACACCATCCATCGTAGCCCTGATCAGTCTGGTCAGCTTCCCGGGAAAACCGTTCCCGTCTATAATCTTCCATAGCTCTTCACGGTCAATAGTATCATAAGCGGCCTTGAAATCGATGAACAGGTGGTGCGTAGGGACTTGATATTCACGACACTTTTGGAGGATCGGCCGTAACGTAAAGATTTGGTCCGTTATAGATCGCCCGTCCACAAAATCGGCTTGATAACTTCCCACAAATCTGCTTGCTAGCGGCGATAAACGGCGAAAGATGATCTCGGATAGCACTTTGTAGACCGCGTTAAGAATAGTGATCGCTCGATAGTTCTCACATTCTAGATTGCCGCCTTTTTATATACTGGGCATATAACTCCCTCTTTCCACTCCTCCGGTAGCTGTTCTGTATCCCAGATCCTGACTATCAGTCGGTGCAGACAAGTGGCCAACTTATCCGTCCCATAAAACACTGGCAGGCCTTAGAATACGTTCCTTCCGTGCCACCCAGTTGGGAGACTGCGGTGGGAATAGGTTCGGTTGAGTTATTCCCGTCTTACGCGATCCGGCTCTGAACATAACGCCCCATGAAGGCCTATGTTAACCCCTGTCATAGACCACACTGCTTGCATAGGCACCCATGGGGATCAATCAGCGACTATTCCAGTTGCACGGTTAGGATAGCGGTCTAAGGGGGACCCAATAGTCGGGATGATGGAACATCATCAAACAAGCTCCAAAACCCAAACCCCCAGAGAACAAGTCGCCAAGGAGGCGACCGCGAATCCATTCGCGAAGGGTGGTCTAACCAGATCTCCCCAACACAGTGATCCGAACAAGCGGCCGAAATCTCCGCGAGACGCAGAGACAACGGTCGAGATCGGTGGACAGCCGGAGAAGCAACCGATGGACGGGCCCGGGCTAATCAGAGCCATGAATAGCTTTGGGCCCCTCCCTAGGTTGCTGGAAATCGCGGGACAGCTCGAGTTCACGAACACGCGGAACAATTTCGCGAAGGACCTAAAGCAGGCCTTGCGACAGCTCCGCGCAACTGTGAATGAGGCCCAGGACGACCACGAGCGGCTTAGGAAGCGACTAGAGGTCGCCGAGAGGGCGGAACAGAAGTAGCCGAAGACTACCCAGACGGACGCCTTCAACTTCGCGGGCAACAACACGATGGCCAGCGAGGGCCTTCACTTTGCCGTTACCCAGGGACAGAAGCGCGATCGGCCCTCACCCTCGCCAGTAAAGGGCGCGGCACGCCCTAAGAGACGGAAAGTCTCTGCCCAGGTGGAGTGCGTGGCGGTGGCCCATCAGTCCACTGCACCAGTGGACAATCCGCAGAAGAGGACTGAAATAGGGAATGGAAAATCAGTTGAGAAAAATGGCGGCTCCAAGCAGGGTGGTAAGCAGGGCGGTAAGAAGGGCGCTCCCCCGAAACTCCCGGACAAAACTACCCCCAAGAGCAGCTCTGCCCGGAACAGGAACAAGACGAAGGGCGAGGCTCTCATCTTTAAGACGAAAGCGTCGAAATACGCGGAAGTTTTGAAGAAGATGAGAACGGACGAGCGTCTTGCGGAGATCGGCAGCAACGTGAGGAGCATCAGGCGCACTCGTACTGGCGAGATGCTTCTGGTGCTCAAGCGTGGCGCTAAAGACCAGGGATCGGCCCACCAGAAACTGGCAAAGAAGGTCGTTGGTAATGGGGCTGCAGGTGAAGTCGCTAGGCTCGACGATCACCATCCAGGTCAAGGACCTGGACGAAGTGACTGAGGCGACCGAGATAGTCACGGCGCTCAGGGAGCAGTGCCAAGTCGAGGTACCGCAAACAGCGATTACCTTGAGGAAGGGACTGTTTTCCACCCAAGTGGCTACCGTCAAGCTCTCGGCAGCTGATGCCAGAAAGACGGTAGCCACAGGGAGGGAGCGAGTGGGCTGGTCGGTTTGCCCCGTGAGTATTCCTCGACCAGTTACAGCTTGCTTTAGGTCAGGGCCATGTGGCCCGGGACTGCAAGAACACCGACAGAAGCAAGCTGTGCAGATGGTACTGCTCGGAGGGTCATAAGGCACAAGGTTGCCAAAAGCCGCCAAGGTGCACTATATGCGCGGAGAAAGGGAAATCCCCTACCAACCACATGGCAGGTGCCGCACGCTGTCCATGGGCCAAGAGCAATGCTCAGCCATGTTCGAGGTAGCGCAGTTGAACCTGAACCACTGCTCGGCTGCCCAGCAACTGTTATGGTAATCGGCAGCGGAATGGGGAGCGGATGTCACAATCATCTCCGACCCGTACCGCGTCCCAACCGGCAACGGGAATTGGGTCACGGACACGTTGGAAATGGTGGCGATATGCACGATTGGGAGCTTCCCCATTCAGGAGGTAGTCGTGTCCAACTCGAGCGAGGGATTCGTGATCGCCAGGGTTAATGGAGTATATTCGACTGTTATGCTCCGCCCAGGTGGTCTATCGAGCAGTTCTCGCAGATGGTGGACAGACTCACTGCGGTACTTGTCGGCCTAAGACCGGTGGTCATTGCGGGCGACTTTAACGCATGGGCGGTGGAGTGGGACAGCCACCACACCAACCAGAGAGGATGCATCCTACTGGAGGCAATGGCCAAACTGGATGTTGTACTAGCCAACACCGGCTCGGTTAGTACCTATAGAAGGAATGGTGCAGAATCCGTCATCGACGTGACGTACTGTAGCCCGTGTTTGGAGGGCAACCTACACTGGAGGGTCGATGAGGGTTACACCCATAGTGACCATCAGGTGATTCGGTACAGTGTGGGGCAAGGTGTACGGCGAGTGGCAGGAGGGAATCCTTCCTGCGCTCGAGGCTGGCGGACGTCGTTCATCGAGGAAGAGGTCTTCGGCGAAGCACTGAGGCGGGAGCGAATAACCCCGGGTCTGACGGAGGAAGAACTGGTAGCAGCGCTGACAAGGGCGTGCGATACAACCATGCCTAGGAGAGCCTATCCCAGTCGATTGCTATCCTCAGGGCGTCTTGCCTCCAGGCGAGAAGGAGGATGCAACGAGCTCGTACGACTGAATCTCGGGAGGAACGCCGTGTCGCTATTCGAGTTGTATAGGTTCGGACATGCAAGTACTCCCATCTGTCGTATTCCCGTTCCAGCTGCGCGTAAAAAGCGTCTTTATCGTCATCGTCACTTGCTAAGTGAGGGCTGTGCATGTTTATTATGCTGACATTGAAGAAACGGCCTTTGATCCTCAACTTGCACAATCTGCTATCGATTGGCCACTACCCAATCACGCGCTTCTGCATTTCGCCCATCACGATGAAAGCTGTACTCAGCTCATGTGTATTGCCGCAGCTCTGGTAGATGGTATAACCAACCCTATACGTATGTACCGACGATCCCTTCCACTAAACCTCCTGCAGCGCTACGATGTCGAACTTGTGGACCCTCAATAAATCGGAAAGAATGCGGGTACTTCCCAAGAAATTGAGAGACTTGCAGTTCCATGTTCCGAGTTTCCAATCGTTAGTCCGTTTCCATTGCTTGGGTCTATGCCGATTATTCCGGTCCGTATTTACATTGGTTGCTTCCTGTACTTTTGTTTTTTACTGCTGGCTTGTAGAGCCTGCACCAACCCCCATTGTCTCGCCGGGGACCATCGTGCACAGCACTGTTTAGAGTCCCACGCTGGCACCAGCACGTTGATCAGCCGCTCCTAACATGGAGAACAGACGCCGTTTTGAGCCGCACCTCCATGGTGAACAGACGCTCGAAGACTGCACTCTCCGGAGAGAGGAGTCCCCCCCCCCTCCCTTCCCTGTCGGCATACGACCAAGGTCCCACCGGGGTTGGTTACCCGATCTTCCCTATGGTTACTCGTACCCCAGCCGGCACCGCGGGGAGATAGGGATAGGAGTTACTGGACAAGAGGCTAAGGACCGCTAGTGGGGTCTATTTTATACTTGCAGATACGCGAAGTATCAATGGTACGCATTGTCCAGCCGTTTACCAGCCAGCTCCACTTACTAGCAAGATCAATTAAAGCTACCGATCTGAATTCACAATATCGCTGTATGAAGGGCCAAAAACGGAGGGGTGGACCCTACACTGATGCAAAATTTGACATTTTCGCTCCACAGTGCTCAAGCGGTTCCAAATCGGGTCTAGATTAGCTTACCAAGGTTTGAACTGATTTGGTAAGAAACTGACTGGACACAAACCATTTGAAGTTTATATGGGAATTACTATGGGGAAACCAAACTTTTTCTTCCAAACCAAACTCTATCCTTCTTCTATATTCCACAGTTAAAAATTTCTATAGCTATTCTTATGGAAAATTTTCTCAGCTACAACTTTGCGGAATATTGTTTTTAATTGTTTAAGAGATTGATAATCTTATGGCATGATCAAGCACCTGTTTTGTGGGCAACACTGTATTCTGCGCGCCAGAAACACCAATGTTGCCTGCTGAGTAGTTGATTGAGCATAATCATAAGACCATTCAAAATCTATGAATGGAAATTAATTAAAAGGTAAAAGGTACGTTGGTTGAAAGACCTGAGTGTTGCATTGATTGATATTTGAATGCATATGCACTTAAAATATTCAATTGTTTATTTTGCCCTATATGCTCACTTTACCCCCACTTCCTCTAATTTGCAATTACGGTTATGAATTTATTGAAAGATAAAAGTCCAAAGCGTGAAAGGGGCTGACACAATCTGGTGATTACTGTATTATGAATATTGAGCATTTCTAGCTCAAATCGTTAAAAAAAATGTCAATTTTGTCTCGACCCCTTCTGATTTGAATGAAACATTGCTCACGTGTTCGCTGCTACTAATGGTTGCATTTTTCATTTAAATATGATTTTTTCCTCCAGAGTAACTTTTAAAAAGGGCGTATAAAAAAATTGATTATTTTTTATTAAAAAAAACATAACTTGAAAACTATTGATCTGATCAAAACGGCATATAAAAAAAAGTTTTAGGTAATTAAATTATCTTTACGGAAAAAATACACTGAAAGAAAAAACTTCGTAAATTAGTATTTAAAAAACGTAAAACGATGATTATCTCAAAACACCCCCCCTTCGATCTTTATAATTTTTTTTTTTCAAGAAAATTGATGGAATACCCTTGAATTTCGTGAAAAGTGTATGCTGGTAACTTCCTTAAAAAGAAATCTATAATTTTTTAAATTTTTGTTGATTTTTACAAGTTGATGAAAATGCATATTTTCTTGAAAAATAACAATTTATTTGGATTTTACGCATAATTTTCGATAACATTGCATATGGAATTTTTTTTCCTAAGTCCAGCCGTTCTCAAGTTAATGCAAATTAAAAAAATATAATTATAACAATTTTCAACATTTTAGGCCATTTTCAAATGTTTGTCGAGATGTCCAGCAACGAGATTTTATTTCATGATTGTATATTAAAAAACAAACAATTCATTCTCAGATATGGTAGCTGTCAGACTTACCCGTTTCTATCTATAGGCAGCGGAAGAGAAGCACGTTGATGTGGTCAAATGAAAGATTTGTTGAGATTAAAAACAGTATATAGGGGAAATGACGGTTTCGGCATGACATACTATTTTCGGCAATACAAATTGAAACACTATTTTCACTGGATTTTCTTACGAAAACACTTCGCTGAATGCATGCAAACGATTCTTTATGCTTTCAGCTTCAATTTGACTATACTTTTACCACTTAGAAAAAGCAATCTAGCAAGGTTTTCTTGAAATGCAACACACGCACTACAAATTGTAGCTGATTTCGAGTTGCCGATAATAGAACAGCAGATTTACATGCAGTTCAAATGGAACGGTTGCCGAAGAAAAACTGGTTGCCGACAATACTCGCTCTCACTAGAGAAGATTGGAGCTTTGTAAAAGCGTTTCAAAACAGTGTTTGGACAATTCTTTCGACTGAAAGTGTTAGAGCAGCTGGTAGCAAAAGATTGTAAACAAACCAATACTGCATATGTGTGCGTTCCTTAGAGAAAAAGGCTAAAGAAAGAAGGTCGCTGCTTAGGTTGCCGAGAATACGTAAATTCCCCTATTTATTATTTTATTTTACAACTCATATTATTTGACAACTCATATTATTTGAATACATTGAATAATTTGGGTGTATCGTTTGAATTAGAGAATATTTTTACTGCAATTTGGTTGTTTGAAACTGGAATATAGCAATGATATTTTCGAGTTCCAGGAATTGGTTTCACTTTCTTAAAAATTGGATCAAATTCCGTGTCAGCCTTTTTGTATTCTTCCGTAGAAACATAACAAAATGACATTTTTGTTTGAAGATCTTCTTTACGACTATTTGCCCAGTCGTACAGTTGTTAAGGGTTCGTTATAGGGTGCTCGTGTTGCTTAGCTAAACTTGCTCTGGTTGCCATTCTCTTAAGGGTACCGCCAATCACATAACAATGACCTTTGCCGTGTGAAGTTGCAAAAAAATGCCATTCAATTTCTACATTATGCTTATCTTTAAATCCACAAATGCTAGCAAAAATTTTTATGTTTTTGTATTGTGATGCTGCTCCATCTGACATAAAAATACACTTTTGGACTGTTATTTGCAACTTTGAAAATTCTAATAATTTTGAGATAAACAACTGAACTGCTACTGTGTCATGCTTTGAAATTGATTTAGGTGGAGGTTTACAACACTTGAAATTGTTATCCATCGTAAAAAACTACTTGCTTTTTAACTTGAAACGCTAAGAGAGATGAACTGAATGGAACAGGTGAAGATCGTCCCAATATATATATATATATATATATATATGTAGCAGAATAATTACAATGTTGACATTATACCTATCTTCATTAGGTACAATTGATTATAGCAAACTTTTTTAAGTGTGAGTGTAAGAAGCCTCCACGGGGTGCCTTTTTATGTAGTTGTGATATCGCGGGATGAGCTCTTAAGGCACAATATGGTATACGTCAGAGAAGTACCTAGAGAATTTATCTCAATTACAGGTTTGATAACATATTTGTTTACCTGTTTATGTTTTGAGCCTCTGTTATGACATACACAATTCTATCCAGGTATACAACTAATAGAGGACAGAAAAAAGGCACATGAGTGGGTTTGTTGATTATTTGGGTATATTTGAGAGTATTTACTTATAAACTTGTTTCTTTTCCGCTGCGTCTAAATAGAAACGGGTAAGTCTGACAGCTACCATATTTGAGAATGAATTGTCTGTTTTTTAATATATATTCATGGAAAAACATCTCGTTGCTGGACATCACGACTAACATTTGAAAATGGCCCAAAATGTAGAAAATTATTATAATTATTTTTTTCAAATTGCATTAACTTGAGAACGGCTGGACTTAAGAAAAAAGTTTATATATGCAATGTTTTTGAAAATAATGCGTAAAATACAAATAAATTACTATTTTACTAAAAAATATGCAATTTTACCAACTTGTAAAAACCAACAAAAATTTCAAAAATTATTAAATTTTTTTTAAGAAAGTTACCAGTATACACTCTTTACCAAATATTAGGGCATTTTTTCAGTTTTCTTGAAAAAAAAATTATAAAGATCGAAGGGGGGGTGTTTTGAGATAATCATAGTTTTACGTTTTTTAAATACTAATTTACTAAGTTTTTCTTTCAGTGTATTTTTTTCCGCAAAGATAATTTAACTACTTAAAACTTCTTCTCATATGCCATTTTGATCAGATCAATAGTTTTCAAGTTATGATTTTTTGAAAAAAAAAAATCCATTTTCTTATACGCCCTTTTCAAAAGTTACTCTGGAGGAAAAAATAATATTTAAATGAAAAATGCAACCATTAGTAGCAGCGAACACGTGAGAAATGTTTCATTCAAATCGGAAACACTCATGACCAACCGGTTTGCGTTTTGGGCTGGAAATGCTCTATTAGAAATATGTTCGAATATTATTGTTATTTAAATATCTTGAATTTTTGTTTTGATTGACAGTTTTAAACATAGCTGATTGCTGGTGTCTATATAGTGGAATACCTGTACACATAAAAAAAGAGAAGAATTTGTAATTTACATTCAATTTCACTTTCACTCATAATTGCTTGTCCTTGACACGGAAAATCAATTAAGGTAGAGGAATTATACGGAAATCCTTCTCTCTTCAATTGTGTTCAAGTTTCAAACATAATTTAAGAGATCTCGATGTGATAGCTGGAATCCATTTTTCTCCCAAGGCTCGCGATGCCGCTCGTCTGGCAACACAGTGTTTGGCAACGCAAACTTTCCGAAAATCAAAATCCCACTGGAAGGTAAGTGCACCAGTTATGGCACAAGTCCGCATACGTTTAGTTAATTATAATAAATTCATGCTTAGTAGGCCCAATTAAACAACACCAAGATAATAGTTTTATTTTTAACTTCTAATTATTTCCATTTCAAACATCATCAGAACTTACCTGAAATAACCGCACCGCTTCCTGTAGCTGCTCCATTGTCCGCAAATTGCCCGTCTCAATGTTCGATTTGGGCAAATAACCAAACTCCATCAAGTAGTTTTGCTGAAAGTGACAAAATACAGAAGAACATAAATCGAAGATTAGAGAACGTGTTGGTTACATGGGTAGGGCAAGGTAGGTAGGTATATGCAATTCAAATATTCATGACCCGGCAAACGGACACCATCATGCAACGACTTCCGAATGCGGTGCTGAAATGACGAAGTAAAAATTTTACGATCCCATTCCTTCGCACTAGCGAGCTCAGATTTGATCGTTTTCCAATTTTTGAATTCCAGCCACGTAGCGGGTGGGTGCATAAAAAACTAACTCGTTTAGAATTGACCATCTACCCCGGCTATATCAGGCTATATCTATCGGCTTCCAAGTGGGAAATCGTTTTAAAATTGGGTACTCAACGTGAAAGTGAACGAAACTGCCCAGGTTATTCAAGGATTTTCGGTGCATATGAATAAAAACAATGTTTTTTTTTACTAAATAGGTGGCCCAAAAACAACAATTAACTATTATGTACGGTTTTTCTAAACCTTCCTTAAATCTGAAACTTAAAAAAATATTTTCGCGATCCTGCCAGGAGTCGAACCTGGAATCTTCTGATCCGTAGTCAGACGCGTTATCCATTGCGCCACAGGACCCGGTTGGAAAGCGAGATCTCTCAAGCTTTCAAATTCTACGCAGTAGAAGCAGACAAGCTATGTGGCATTGCTAGAGAAAACATGCAGTGGCAATGAGCGCCACAAACATGGCAGAGAAGTAAGAATGAGAAAGAGAGTTCAAAATATTGTGAAGCTGTCTTCCCACATGATCGTGTCTAGCGTGCGCGGCGGGGGATTTGCGGTGGTATGAGAGGAGTAAAAGCAGTATACTATGCTCTCTTATTCTCACGCATATCTTGCTCCGCGCCCGCCAGGCACGCTCATGTTTGCAGACACCTTAAAAGAGAGTCTCCCACTTACAGTCTGTATGTGAATTCGAAGGGGGTCGCTCTTCTCAGCTGGTACTGGTTCATCCAACTGATGAATGTGTTTTACTTGGAAGCTAAAAATAGTTCACTCGCAGTGTTGTCCGCTCACCGGTTAAATATTTTCATTTTATTTGCATCTAACAACAAGCAGGCCTTATGTCGTTTTCGTTTTTGCGGTGTAGCTACACCGGTGCTACACTGCCGTACACCGAAATATTTTAGGGTGTAGATATAGGATGCACCTTTGTTTACAAACAAATGATGTTGAGCTGTCAAAGACTCGCGCTTATTCCTGCTTATACTACACCAGTGCTACACCGCAAAAACGAAAACGACATTAGTGTTCAATAAAAATCAATTCCTTTAATAAGCATTTGTCTCATTCCACGTGTCTCGTCAGGCAGATTTTCAGCCCTCGATAACTTCATTTTAAGGCAATGTTATATGCAACAATAGAAAGTAGACATGATTTCCTTTGGTTTCCAAGCACGACAAAAAATGTAATATCTATCAATGTCAACGTGGTGCGGAGTCACTCGAAATGGTTGTCAAAAAAAACCAACTGGAGCTGTGAAAAAAATCTAACGATCAGGACCAACACCAAGACTTACGTCCCATAAACAGATTTGTTCGAAACATAAAGTATTAGCATCAACACTCAAAATATTATCCTTAAATTAAATTTTAAAGTAATATAACAAATGTATCTTTAAAGGCTGTCCAAATGTATTTGTACCAATGAAAAAGTACGAGCAATTAATTGCAATCACTAATGATAGTAAACATCCTCAACAACGAAAACATAAACATCATAATAATCGCGTATGTGGGAAAGCAGCAAAAGCCAATTCAACTTTATATTGATCAGTTTCTTACTAGTTAACCAAGCTTATTCCAATCTTTACAAAATATTGGCTCAATCAAACAATTGTAAACCAATAATGAGAAAGTCACAAACGAGTTCTCATTTTAACTCTGGAAAAAATGCGCCAATTTGTGAGCGGTGTTAAGAGGATGTAAACAAAAGCAATGAAATTTATATGATTTAGCAAAATTACTTGAAAATTTAAGTGGCGTTGCCAGGTGGTTTCCATCCCGATGTGACACCCTTAGAGAGCTGACACTCCAGAGGATAATGTGGTTACATTTTGTACTGCCTTATTTATTTATTTACTTACGATTGTTTTTCTCTGCCTAAAAGTTCAAAGAGCCATAATAAATCTATCGCTACAATTTTGGGCGTAATTGGTTGAAACTGTAAGAAGTTTGAGCAATTTTAGAAAAAGCTAATTCTTTCTTCCCTTGCATACCTCATTAAGCAGCAACCAAAAATTCTTCCAATTGCTCCAAGGACCAGGCTAAATAGCGGAAAAAAGTACCAATTTTAGATTTTACCTCTCAGAATTTCATGAGACTTCGCATGAGGCAACGAACCAAAATTGTGGTGGATTTCAGATATTTTAACTCACACCTAATTTTTCAAAATGGCGTATTTGATATGTTTAATAAATCATAGCACGAAAGCGGTTCATCTAATCGAAATGACGTCTGAGATAAAGTTGTTGGAAACTGGATTGCCTTTCAAATTTTCGATGGACAACACCGGTCGATCCAACCACGACTAAAGCACAAAAATCAAACCGGCGAAAATATCTTCAATCCAAGCTGGACAACCTTGGCAAGTGGAATAATCACAAGTACCGTAAAACGGAATCAAACTGATCAGCGAGGTGTATTTGATCGCTGAGGGTTCTTATTATTTTTGTTCGAATATAATACGTTTTACGTCGAACGATGTTGAAATAGAATACATTCTTACGCCTTAAATCAATCAAAACATTGCACTTGACGGAAAATATTGAGAAACATGGAGATTTGTTCATATTATCGGACAGGTTTGGGGCAAACGGGAGTCAGATAATTGCATAGCAAATAGTGAAAACCGTTTTCCGAGTGACCATTTGATTTGCAATAACTTTTTTCTTACTTGAAAATTTCTTATCTTTCACTGGTGAAAAGTTCAGAGTGGTTTTCTTTTATTTGGAGATGCTAAACGAAAAATATCCGACTTAAAGTGTTCATTTTATACGATAAAACAGGAGATGAAAGTATAGAGTTGATAGTTCCGTTATAGTACGGCAGTGTGAAAATTATACATAGAGAGTAGAAAACCAGCAAAGGTCCACTTTGAGGAAGGCACGAATCGGGCTAATCATCTCCTTTACCAAACTTCCCTGTTGGGGAGGGATGGTGAGGGGATTCACCCCCGACACCACTGGGAAAAGAGATGATCGCCGATTTGCTCACGTACCTTCGATGTGTGCAAACAGTTCTATCGATTGTTTCACACTCAAGTCGTCATGTGACGTAAGCATCAAGTCGATTGGGCCTTTGGGAGGCCATTTAACTTTGGCTTAAAAGTTGGGCAAATTATCTCATAAATCATAATCTCTGAACAAACTTCCTGTGTGACAGGGCACTCCATCCTTTTTAAACACATAATGATCTTTTCCGATTATTACTTATACACTTGGTTTGTCAACTGTCTCCATAAATTCCTGTTGATAATGTATAGCGTTAACTTTAACGTTTTTTTTTTAATGAAAACCTATGTAATTTGCCAAACTTGCATATACCTCCAGAAACCATCACTGATGCGATACTTTGGAATCGTGGAATTTTTCTGTTACAGCCCTGGCACATTTTCCAAGGTGGAAGTCCAGTCTGTTGTTTAAAATATTATTAGACTGCTGCAGGGCAAATAACTTTTCGTCGGATAGGTCCAACTCTTCCCAAAACTTCTAGAAGAATTGCTTTTTCAAGCCCTATTTTCTTAGAAACTTCTGACACTTAATGAACTTTCCGCTTCTTGAAAGCTTGGAATCTCAGGTCAAGTTTCAGGACATTGTGCAAGAACGGTTTCGAAAAATTAAGATAATTTAAGTACAGAGTGCTGAGATTTTCATCAAATCCTTTTTCTGGCTATTTTAATAACTCGTTCTGTCCTCACTGAACGTGCTCGGTCGGATATCTTCCGGTCATCTAAACGAGGAGCCCAAACGATTCAAAAATACATCTTTACAGCAAATATTTTGACAGCCCTGGGCCTCTATTTGCCGTCAAATTTGACTTCCCAACAAACAATGTGTGCTGATTAAAGGCTGAATAAGCAATTTTTTAGCTGAAGAAGCATAATTTTGCCTGAATAAACTCTTATTCCGCTTCCAATGTTTTTTGGGTTGACGCTTAAAGTCGCAAAGAGTCGAAAAGTGAAAAAATGTCTGAATGGAAAATTATCTTCATCGGTGATCGATGATTCATACATGGATGATCAAACTGCCTTCGGTGTGGCTTTGCAGCAGCAGCCAATTGTACCGCCGAAGGAAGAAATGTAAGGTAGGTTTTAGTTTTGTTATATCTACTGGTGGTTTTGTAAAGTTGATTTTAAGTTTGTTTTATTATTGACATAATCACGTAATTACCGGGTGCTTGAATGATGCCCGCAGCTAAAGGTAATCGGCTAGGAAATCAACGGTATTGAAGGATGATTTCGACAGTGAGTATGCATAAGAGCGAAACAATTTTCTAGAATTTGTTCAATGCAGAGTTGTAACAGGCTATCAAAAGCAACAGCAAACGCACCGATAAACGTTAACCTAGCGAGTTATTAACAAAAGAGAAAATTGACGAAGAGAATCGATCATCGCGTATAGGCCTTTATGCATGCTCACTGTCCAATTGAGTCATTTTTCCATAGAAAATGTACGCTCAATCATTCAAAACAAATATTGGGTATCATCACGGCAGAATAAACGTGTTGACTGAGCTACAGACTGAGTGCTCGGGTGTCAGTGTCTCGTTTACCTCACAAACATTCAGACTCTCACGAGGCAGTGAATGATGAGGCAGATGGCAGTTCATATTCATATAAAAATGACTCAATGAACCTGACTGTTTTGTGCACTGATCGTGGCATTCAACAGACAGAAGATTGCAATCCCACCCAACGATCCGTGACGTCCTCATAACGAACACTTTGTTCGATCTCCGAATGCTTCCAACTACACTGCTTGACAAA